AAGAATTCACCCTTAATGGAAGTTAGCCATAGACTGAGGCAAAGATCTAAGCTAGAAGAACTAGATCACATGGAATTTTTTTTAGGAGATGTGAGACAATGTGTCCACCATTAAATTAAGAATACCTGAACAAACTTATTTGCATTAGGAAGAAAATATTACCTTTCAGAAACAGTTTCAAAATGTAAAAAAAATAACACAGGATTCTATTTCTTATTCCTGACAATTTTTACATTGTAAAAAATGAAAAAAAAAAAAAACCTTGAGAGTGTGGTCATATTTCAATTTGATGGTGAACATTTGGTTCTAGTAGAAGAATTCCAATATAGATCCCTGAGATTCTGAGCAAAGCCACACCATCTGCAGCAAAGAATTATGCACCTCTTGGAAAGCATTTCATAACATGATTCTGGGCCTTGGTAGAGATGAACCACATGATCATGAGGGATATGAGGTTTCCATGGACCCTAAACTTCTCATACAGAGAAGGATCCTATATGACTCACCAAGTCATAAGAACAGGCAGGCCAGCATCAATCCACTGTGAGAGATGCATGTGAGTAGTATGCACACGTATAGATACATTGGAGCAGGCAGACACATGGAAGCTGACTGAGTGAGTGGCCACTACTCCTTTTTCATTCACCAGTGTTGCTTGTCAGGCACCTATTTTATGGATACACAGGATATCTTTTGTGACCAGCTTTCAGAACAAGTTGACCTGTTAACTGACAGGTCAAGTTGAAACATCTCATACACTCTACTCCATGTCTCTTCTCATCATAGGCATCACTAATTTCAAAGAGTTTGTCACATCACACAGCTCCAGCAGCAGGGAAGCTTGGACTATAGCCTAGACATACTTCAGAGTTCTTTTCAGACCTAGGACCTACTCAAAGCTGGCAAACTCATTTTGTCATTTCATACATGGCTCAGAGCAGGATAAGCCAAATGTAGAAAATGTCTCCAGGATCCAGGGAACCTTACCAAATATTATGCTTTTTCTTATTAGTAGAAAGCAGAGGGTACAATCATTTATGTTACTTTAGAGGAGATGAGCTGGTACTTCTCAAACCTCTGGAGCTCTAAAACTGTCACTGTTGGCGAGAAGTGATCTTTAGAGTTCATATCACACCCTTTGGATGGGTATGTCTTGCCAGACCTCCACATTGCACATCTCACCCTGTCGGATTAACATAATGTTATTAATATTGTGGGCCAATTTTGAGGCCCTATGAAATATCTAGTCATTCTAGGTCTTGTAAATTCATTATGACAGAGAGTGGAAGCATTAAAATAGTCGTGGGCAATACTAAACCCTCGGTATATTTGTAATAATCTTAAACAAGTTTTTAAGTCTTCTTATTATGAATCCTTAACCCACAGCTTTCAAAGGTGTCTGCTAATGGTTTCCTGAATCCTGATTTTCTTTGAGAGAGGCATTTCAGTCTACTTTGGGTTCTCTTGGTTTCCTCTGTTAAATTTCTTCGGTCCTCAGTCTCTATTTCTCAATTACATTTAAAATACTTACTGTTTAATGGCCTTTTAAAAAGCAGTTAGATGCAGTGCTTATCAGTTTAGCCTGACCTTTAAGATCTCATTTTCTTCTTAGTTATTTCTAATCTGTCCTTTAAAATCTCAACCTTTTCCTTAAGAATATCTCTCGTCCTCCAATTCAATCAGCCTGACTTGTTTTACTTTGTTTTTATTCCTGTGCTGTTTCTATTTTGATCATCAGACTGAAGCACTCTTTTCAAATCAATCTAGTTCCTTTTCAATTTCTAACCAAATCTGACTCAGAGATTCAAAATACTCTAGACTCAGAACTTTAATGTCGTTTTATTAGTTTGCAATAATTTCTTTAAATTGTTTCTCTGCTTCAAATAGTAAAAGTGACATATTATTTTAATATGCAGGCCATAGTTAATATTTATATTATAATTTACCATTTTTATGAGTTAATTCACTAGTGGAGTCATAGAAAATTAAGCTCTGATCATAGCTTATGTGATTAAAAAATATAAAGTTCATTTGAACTCAAAGAATGGGAATTGGTACCAAAGAGCCTATAGATAAGACGTCTGAATCTGAAGTTATCTGACCTTTCATGGTTTTCCCCTTAAGCTTGAATGTAGACTTGAATTTGAGACATATTACCTAAAGCTACACAGTACTAATCCATAACTTCAGCCCCCTATAGCCATCCTGTCCCACCTAAGGTGGGGGTGAAAAGACCTGAGGAGCACATATATGGTTAACATGTATGTTCAAGGTCACAGATTCATTCAAAGACAGGCCTAATCATAGGTGTATAGAATGCTTCTGTTCCCTCACACCTTTTTTACGATATCATTAGAGCTCCTTCAACTTTGTATATTGTGTATGAATTTCAACAAAAATAAAAATACACGTTATACTAAAAGATAAAATGCACAGTTTGAAGATTGAGAATAAGTATCTGAAGCAGACTCAGATATAGCAAGATGTTGGAATTATCATATTAGAAATGTAAAACAAATATGAAAAATATGTTAAGGGCTTTCTCTAATGGAAAATTTAGACAACATGAAAAAAATAGATGTGTAATACAAGCCAAAAGATAGATATTCTCAGAAAGAACCAAAAAGAAATAATAGAGGTCAAAAACATTGTAACAGGGAACCAGCAGTTAGCATAATAGCTATGTCGCTGGACTCCCACGTAGTCGACTGTGGTTCACGTCCCAGACCTGGTGGCTTAAAACTCACGCCGGGCGCATGTGCGTGCTTGCCCAAGATCCCAAGAGGAGAATGGAGGAGAAGGGATTGCGGCGTGACCATCCCCCCTGGGGGGTGTTTTCTCGCTTTCTGTCTCTCTGTCTCTCTCTGTCTGTCTGGCGAGCGCACAAGCCCTATAGCGAAAACCTCTCCAAAAAAAATACACTGTAACAGAAATGAAGAATACCTTTGATGGGTTTAATGGCACCTGAATACTTCTGGCAGAGGAAGTATCTGTGAGCTTGAGGATATATCAATAGAGACTTCAAAAACAAAGGGAAGACTGAAAACATAAAAGCATCCAATGTGTGACAGTAGCAATGTGTAACCTATGTGTAATAATGACACTAGAAGAAGAGAGAAAAAGAGAAGAAATATGTAAAGCAATAATTACTAAGAAATTTCTCTAAATTAACATCATATACCAAACTACAGATACAGGTTTTTTTAAAGAACAGAATAAATTTTGAAAAACTGCCCCTATACTCCACCATTAACTTTCACCAAGGCTCTAAGAACACATACCTCAGAGTGCATAAGAAGTACTATTACTTACATATCAGTAATCCTCAACTGGAGTCTACTTTGGCCTCTAGGGTTTACTTGTCAATATCTAATGACATTACTGGTCTTTAGAATTACTGGAAGAAAGATACTATAAGATTTAATGGGTAGAGGTCACAGATGCTACCATATACACTACTCTGCACAGGGCAGTCCCCCCCAACAAAGAACTATCTAGACTCAAAAGTCAGTAGTGCCAAAACTGAAAAACTCTACCATTGACAAATCCCTTGGGATTGTCAACACTGAACAACTAAGTGACATATTTTCTGAAGATTAAAATCCCATGCTGTGGGTTAGTCCATAGCCTCATGGTTAAGGGAGCCAGATTCCACATGGGTGACTGCAGTTCAAATTTTGGCCCCAGTGGCTTATAAAACATGTTGGGCACATCTGTATGCTTGCCCAAAGTTCCAGGACAATATAGAAATAGAGAATGGATTGTGATTTGACTGTGCTTCACTGAGAGGTAATTTCTTCCTCTTCCTTTCTCTCTGTGTCTCTTTCTGATAAATGCACACACCCTCTGAAAATCAAAACCAAATTCCCTGCCCTGTCATCAACAGTAACAATCCAACTCTACCAATGCAAATTGGCCCTACTTAAAATAAGCCTCCACAAACCTCCAGCCAACATATTAAACAGATAGAGCTACCCCATTTGTGACAGCAAGCATCAGCAGACTATACAGCTCAAAGAAATAAAACTCTAAGTAATAGAGAAAATATAAGAGGTCAAGAAGAAATTAAAAATTATTTTTCTTATTCCTTCTACATTTTGAAATTTATATTGCTTGCAATATAAATTACATATATGTATATAATTACATGTATATATTTGAACAATGGTATATAAATATAATTTATAAAGACAGTGTATTATGATAATGAGAATATTTCTGAAACCAAAGTGAATGGGTTTTAATTCCATATCTCAGCATAATTTTCAGCAGTTTATTTTACCATGTCCATGTCTGAATTGTCCCTTGTTATAAACTAAGGATAGTTGGGGTTCTTGTTAACATATATAAAGTCCAGTTAATGCATATAATATTCATACATATTTATCAATTTTTATATTATTTTTATAAATATACATCTAATGAGGGAATATGGTAAAACCTCTTTGGAGATGAGGTAAAGAATTTTAAAAATATGAAGTTCATGGGATTAAACATTGAAACTCAAGGGACCAACAGCTGGCATAATGGCTATGTCGCTGGACTCCCATGTAGTCTAAGGTGGTTTGAGTCCCAGACCCAGTGGCTTAAACTCACACCAGATGCATGTGTGTGCATGCCCAAGGATTGCGGCATAGCCATCTCCCCTGGGGGTGATTTCTAACTTTCTGTCTGTCTGTTTCTCTATCTTTCTGGGGAGCACATGCACCCTATAGCAAAAACCTCTCTGAAAAAAGAAAAAAAAAAATTGAAACTCAGAAAACAAAGGCCTAAAAGGGCACCAGTTATCCAAGGACCACAGGGAATGGGGATCCAGTGTCTACTGGTATCAATGATCGATTAGAAAGCTTCATGTACTTTTCATGTCATGACTGTCTTTTAGATTCCTTACAACTAACACTAATCAAACATTCTAAGCACATTAGTGAAAAATGAAATGAGCTTGGAATTTGGGGTGATGAACTTCAGAGGAGTCAATTTTCCATTTCATTTCTTTGCAGAAGGAAATTTCCTGAGGGGTTTTGACTTACCCAGATTCAATGCCTCAGAGTACAGTTTTAAAGGACAATATCTACAACTCTCAGTCATGCAGGTCTCTTTTCTATCTTCTGCCTTTGAGTTAAACTAATTGTGATTTTGGAGTAACTGTCTCTATATTTGTCTCACATAATTTATTTTTGGATTTGTTTTTTGTAATCCTTGGTTATCTAAATTCATTTTAATAGGATAGCCAACATCAGATAAACTTGATACAAATTTGAAGAATATGAATACTCCTATGTGCCATACATTTTCTATTAGCTAAATGAGTTCTTTTGTTCTATACATCACAATTTATTACACTAGATTGTAAACTTTAATTCATTCCCTATTGTTCTCTCTTATGTTAGTAATCTTTTGGTCCATATTTTATAGAAATTTCTCGATTAAATATTAAGGAAAGAGAATACTGTGATGAATAGCATGATTTAGGCCTAAAATAGATTGGGTTTATGAAAATTCTACCACTCAGTAGATTTACAAGTGTGCATAATATACTTAAGTTATTTGAGTTTTATCTATAAATTGTGCAGTAAAAAATGCACAATTCTTTATCATTGTCGTGCAGATTAAATAGGATAATATATAGTCAGTCTATGGCACATAGCTGGTAAGTCTTCAAGGAAGCTAGTCATGATGGTGATGACAGTTGTGCTGGATGCCATACCTTTCTCTAACAGTCACTCTGTATTCATTCTTTATCATTTTCTCTTCCCTGTAAGAATTACATAAATGGCTCTCTTGGCTTTGGCCAATAAGAGCACTAACCATAGGTGAGAAATAGATGTGGGGCTGCCTGTGCCTGCAGGGTTAATGATTGGGACCCGTGCCTCATTTCCTCCTACATTTGTCTTTTGACTCTCAGGTTTGCTTCTTGGAACTTCAAGACAAACTTTCGCTCCTCCCGGACCCATCTGGACACCCTTTCCAGTGAAGAGCCTTGCTGGAAGGTGGGCTGCCTGCTGCAGTGACAACAGTGCAGGGTTCTGGTGAGCAACAGGGAGTCAGAGCAGAAGAGAAAGTACCAATGTTCTTTCTGCACAGCAAAGGACACAGTAATTAGTGTGAATCAACAACCCTCAGAATGGGAGAATATTTTTGCAAAATATACCTTAGATACGGGACTCATAACCAGAATACACAGGGAATTCAAGCAGCTTACCCGCAAAACAATGATTAACCCAATCAAAAGATGGGAAAATGAGCGGAACAAAAGTCTCTCTAAGGAAGACATAGAAACAGCCAAAAAGAATATGAGGAAACCCAACATCCCTCCTTATAAGGGAGATGCAGATCACCTAATCCCTGACAGAATGACAAAGATTAAAAATACAAAAAGTGTTAAGTGCTGGTGGGGTTGTGGTGAAAGGGGAACTATCCAACACTGTTGATGGGAATGTAAATTGGTTCAGCCACTGTGGAAAACAATATGGAGGTTCCTCAAAGACCTTCAAATAGAACTACCATTTGATCCAGAAATCCCACTTCTGGGTATCTACCCATAGGATAGGAGATTGCTCAGTAAGAAAAGTGCTTACACATCAATGTTTATTGCAGCATTTTTCATGATTGCTAAGACATGGAACCATCCCAAATGTCCACAAACAGATGGATAGATTGAAAAAGTATGGCACATATACTCTGTGGAATACTATTCAGCCATAAAAAACAAGACCCTGGCATTTGATAGAAAGTGGTCAAATATGGAAGATTTATTGCTGAGTGAAGCAAGCCAGAATATGAAAGAAAGATTGTATGTATTTACTTAATATATACTGACTATCTGCACTATCTGGTAGAGACTGAAATATTGGAGGGCATAAAAGCAATGAACATAGTTATGGACACTGAAGACAGTGTGGAATGGGAGGGGGGACGGAGGAGAGAATACTATAGAGAAGGATAACATAAGAACAAATGAAGAGGCATGACATCTGTGGGACACAGAAGTGGTTTATTACCTGTTGATGATAACATGGATAGTATTCTCTATGGGAATGGTCTGAGTTTTTCATGTTATGTAAATTCTCGTTACAAGCCAAATGATGTATAGTGATTGAATGTTTAAAAAAAATGAGAATAAAAAAAATAATAATATGAAAAAAAGTGAAAAGCTATTTGGTGATGATGATATGGATGTAATGTCTTTGTCTTGACTTATATGTATGGTAATCATGCTGGAAAGAGAAATGTTATACACTGTAAAAATATATGTTATTAAATGTAATATAATTTTTTTAAAATTAATAGAAAAAGAAATGAATGTAAAAGTAAGATTAGGCTATTAGTACCTTGACTCACTGAAGTGTCTAGTGATCATAATTGGATTTCTGTTAGTAGTTTCTGAGTTTTCTATCATTTCTATGTTTTCTGTACAACTGGCAACACTTTTCCTTGTAACTCAAAAAAAAAAAAAAAAAGAAGCAAAGAAAAATAATGTTTAACTATCTTGAAAAGACCCCTTTTTGGAGTTAGGTGGTAGCACAGTAGTGCTGTAATTGGACCCATAAGAGTAGGTTTACAACTGGAAGTCTTCTCATACTTACTGGGTTTCCATATGTGTGTGTCTTTTATACAGGCTGGTTGAGGGTGGGACAAGAAATCTGTTGCCAGTGTGAATATCCTGTTGGATATACTTCTCTCTCTCTCTCTCTCTCTCTCTCTCTCTCTCTCTTTCTCTTTCATCTACCTTTCTTTCTCTCTCTCTCTCTCTCTTTCTCTCTCATCTACCTTTCTCGTGGAATAAATGAATAAGTAAACTTAAAACACTCAGTTTGGATGTCACTTTCTTTACTGCCAGATATTATTAATTATGATGATAATGATGAATGTTATTGTTGATGCTATAATGATTTCTGTAGAGGCAAAAATCACATCTTATATTACTATTTTTCTTAAAATTCTTAGTACTATTAAAATACCATGCAAAGTGAACCCCATAGCTTGGTAGTTAATAGAAGCCAAATTCTACATGACTGACCAAGGTTCACGCTTTTCCTGTCAACTTGAAAAACATGCCAGACATCCTGCCAAGATGAAGAAATGAGGGAGAAAGGATCACAGTTCGATTCCACATCCCCTTGGGGATGTTCCCTTTCTTCCTTTCTCTCTCTCTCTTTCTCTCTCTCTCTGTTTCTCTGTTTCTCTCTGAAGAACACACATACTCACTGTCAACCTAATAAAGAAATACAATACAGATTTTAAAATAGAGTGGTTTCTTTTGTCTTACTTTAATTACTATTAATTTATAGAGGTTATCTTATAAAGCATTCTATGAATCACTAAACAATATGAAAAACCTCAAGCCAGATATATTATTGTAAACACAGGATTTTTTGCCATCACTTTAGTGCTGGACTATAATTGATCAGAACAGCAATTTGTAAGCAAATGACTCATAATGCAGTCTCCTCTGGAATTTTGAAAACTTGAGAAAAAATTCCATTAGTTCATCAAATCCCTAACATAAAATTTAAATAGTTGATAAGCTTCTCATATTGCTATTGTTAGCTTAGGATTCTCAAGAGATTTGGCTCTGAAATTAGATAAAATCACCTTTCTACAAAAGAATATTTCACCAATTTAATAAAAAAAACTGTCATAGAATAGACCAAAACAATATATACATCAGAGACCAGTTTTCAAAATTTGGTCTTCAAACTTCATGATTTTTTTTTCCAATAGAATTGCAAAAGTTTCTCAGAGACTAGTATTCTTTTCAGTTTGGGGAGTAATTTCAACAGTAAAAGGTCTTTAGTATATATAACATTAGCCCTATAAGTTTTACGTGGTCATATAGTTTATCACCCTAACTGGGACACTTGTGAGAGTAACAGGAAAGATTAGTAATTACTAGAAGGGCCCAGTTGTGTAACATGCATTGACAGGCACTACTACTCAGCCACATAAGCTCACATGGGAGTTTTGAGTTTAAATCTCGTCCACACCAAAAATAAGGCTCAGTGGGTATGTCAGTGGTTCCAGCTAGTTAGGAAGTTGAGGCACAAGAATTATGACATAGTTGACAGTATCCTATTGGGTTTGAATGTTGGTAAAATATTCCTTCAGTTATTTCCATTAGAAAATATAATAATCAATACATGATATAAAGAGTGTTCTTTAAACAAACAAATGTGGCTGGTTAAAAAATTTTTAAAACGTAAAATTCTCAAGCCAGAAAATGGTGTAACAGTTACTTTGACCATAGTTCATGTCCCAGACCCAGTGACTTTAAAATCACGCCAGGTATGTGCATGCCCAAGATCACAGGAGGAAAACTGAGGAGAAGGGATTACAATGTGGCCATCTCCCCCGGGGTGTGATTTCTCACTTTCCTTTTCACTGTCTCTGTATCTCTCTCTCTCTGGAGAGCTCATGTACTCTAAGGCAGAAAACCTCCTTAAAAATTGAAATTTCTCTGTAAAGGAAATAAGGAAAACAAAAATGTCATGTACAGAACTTTCTGCCTACAGCAGTGTGAACTGACTGAGACAACAACCTTCAGTATGAGAATCTATATTGCAAATAAATATAGAATTATAGCATTGAATAAGCTATTTATGTTGCTGACATGAAGTGAATTAAATATAATAACCTTGTAAATGCTCATATTTCAATCAAGATATGAGCATTTTTATGACATTCCATGGTTCTATTTTAAAGCAATAAATCATTATCTATGTAATGCTTTGCCATGATTAAAGTTTAAATGATAAGCTGAATTCCACTGAGCTTTGTGAAACCTTAAAGACCGAATATCACATAACAGCTCTGAGAAATTTGTAAATATAAGCATTCGAAAGCAAAGCTTTCACTGTAGCTTAAAGCAGTATTTTGATAAATAATGAAAAGTGCAATCTATATATGTAATGAACATCTGTACTGATAACCATCAAGCATTCTATTAAGTCTTCCTAAATTTAAATATAAGTGCATTTTAAAAATTAATACAAAAAAATTAACTTTCTGCTAATAAAATGATGTTCAAATTAAAATCACAACTTGGAACTTTGTAAGAAGCAGTAAACTCATGATTCAAACTCTAGA